TGGTTCTTCCCATTGCTCGTTCGTGCTAACCCGAAATCGCATATCTTAAGGTCACAATTTGCGTTGACAAGGAGGTTCCCCGGCTTCAAGTCCCGGTGTAGGATGTTCGCAGAATGCAGATACTTTAGTCCTCGGAGCAACTGCATCAAGAAATTTGAATAAGTTCAAACGTTACACAAATTCGGCATCATGCCTATTGAAGCACGTTCGAGGAAATACGCAGCAAGAACACGAATTACACTTTTATTTAGTTCCAGTCGTTGATACAATCAATAGAATGTTGGTGTAGCATGTGTATTATTCAATTGAATTGATAGTAGCATCATGAAACTTAACCAAGATTAATCTAATAAGCATGTCACACATCGAAGGAACTAAACGGAAACGAAATTCATGTAATTAAAACGTTTTAAGCTGAGATACTAATCGACAATTTTCAACCGGTCAAACGGGCTCCATACAAATGCAATAAAAATCTCTATTTGCTAGGATGGGTTGGGATATAACGATGATACGAACAAATCTTAATAAATCTAGTCTCAAGAAGGCGCTTTAGTGTAACAGCCTAAGCTCACCGCTAGTAGATATTGTCCATTTCGGCCCGTTACATATCGCCGTCAGCTTCACAATTTTAAAACACATCTACCAGGGAGCGGTTTTCATATGGATAAAGAAGCTTTGTTCCTCTCTCCAACCGATGTGGGATCTTTCAATCCATCCCCTTTGGGGCCAGCATCCTCGTTCGCACACCGCCCAGTGCCTAGCTCTGATTCCATTTGTAACAACGAGGTTTCTGCACCCTTATAAAGAATGCTTCATTCTCCTCTCTAACCGATGTGGGATCTCACAATCCACCCCCATTCGGGGCCAGCATCCTCGTTGGCACACCGCCCATTGCCTAGCTATGATTCCATTTGTAACAACGAGGTTTCCATACCCTTATAAAGAATGCTTTGTTCCCCTCTCCAACCGATGTGGGATCTTACAATCCACCCCCCTTCGGTAACTCAGTGTTCTCGCTGGCACACCACTCAGTGCCTAGCTATGATACCATTTGTAACGAGGTTTCCACACCCTTATAAAGAATGCTTCGTTCTCCTCTCCAATCGATATGAGATCTCACAATCCACCCCCTTTCGGTGCCCAACGTTCTCGTTGGCACACCGCCCAATGCCTAGCTATGATTCCATTTGTAACAACGAGACTTCCACACCCTTATAAAGCATGCTTCGTTCCCCTCCAACCAATGTAGAATCTCACAATCCACCCTCCCCCCCCCCCCCCCCCCCCCCCCCCCCCCCCCCCCCCCCCCCCCCCCCCCCCCCCCCCCCCCCCCCCCCCCCCCCCCCCCCCCCCCCCCCCCCCCCCCCCCCCCCCCCCCCCCCCCCCCCCCCCCCCCCCCCCCCCCCCCCCCCC